TAAACAAGGAAATTTACATTTCCCAAATCATTTCTAGTCATAAACCTACTTGTACTGTTAGATTAAACTGGAAAAGTTTTTCTGGACTGATAGATACAGGAGCTGATGTCACCATTATCAATAGCCAATCTTGGCCGTCTGCTTGGCCAACTAGACCTGCCTCCACAGCTCTGATAGGTTTAGGATCTCCACAATCTGTCTCACAGAGTGTGCTGCCTCTCATATATTGGTCCTGATGGGCAGAAAGGTATTATAACGCCCTTATTGCACCTATTCCAGTCAATGTGTGGGGCAGAGATCTTATGAAAGAATGGGGTGTTGTTTTAACTACTTCTGCCCCACAGAAGTGTGTATTACCTCCTAGCAAGATGATGGCTAAGATGGGCTACCAAGAAAACAAAGGCTTAGCTAAAAACTTGCAAAGTAGTACTCTTCCATTTGAGCCTTTAATAAAATAAGATAGATTTGGCATTGGCTATGAGCCAAATTTATAGCAGGGGCCACTGTCACTTCTCCGCCTATTTCTGTACTGCAAATTCAATGGAAAACAACAGAGACGAAATGGGTTTCACAATGACCTCTAACTCAGGAGAAGCTGAAGATCTTATCAGCAGTGGTAGAAGAGCAATTACAGTTAGGGCACCTTGAGTCCTCTGTTAGCCCATGGAATACCCCAGTGTTCATTATTCCAAAAAGATCAGGCAAGTGGAGATTAATACAAGATTTAAGAGCTGTGAATGCTCGCATGCTGCTGATGGGGGCACTACAACCTGGTCTTCCTAGCGTTACAGCAGTACCTAGACACTGGCCTATGGTTGTCATTGATCTCAAAGACATTTTTAATATTCCTCTCTCTTCTCAGGACCGACAGTTTTTTGCATTTTCAGTATCTAGCACTAATTTTAATGAGCCGGCAAGGCATTTGCAATGGACAGGGCTCCCACAGAAATGGCAAATAGTGCCACGTTGTGTCAGCTGTTTGTAGCACAAGCCTTAAAGAGATGTAGAACTCAGTTCTCTCAGGCTTATATCATACACTACATGGATGACATATTACTGGCTATGTCTTCCAAGCCTAACTTGCTGAGACTGTTTGAAGAAGTAAAATGAGATTTATCTGCCTTTGGCCTTCAACTAGCACCTGAGAAAGTACAAATGATCAGTTCTTATAATTATTTGTGCTGTATTGTCTCTGGAAAGGTAATTAAGCCACAAAAGATTCAAATAAGAATAGATAGGCTACAAACTCTAAATGATTTCCAAAAACTGTTAGGAGACATCAACTGGCTCAGACTAAAATTAGGCATAGCAACCTATCAGTTACAAGGATTATATAGCATTCTGCAAGGTGATAAAGATTTAAATTCTCCCTGACAACTCACAGAAGAAGCCAAGCAGAAACTAAAATTAATTGAAAAATGTCTTCATTCAAGACAGTGTTTCAGAATTGACATTACTCAACCTCTTTATTTGTTTATGTTACAAACCCCTCATTCTCCTACAGGGATATTAGGACAATGTATTAATAAGGTTCTTTCCCCTATGGAGTGGCTGTTTTTGCCGAATCAAGTAGTAAAAACTCTCCAGTTATATGTAGAACAGATAGCAAAAGTAGTGACCATGGGAAGAAGTAGAGCATGTCAGCTTTTTGGACATGATCCAGATGTTATTGTAGTTCCACTGGATGCTCAACAGAGACAGACATTGCTCCAAACTGCCTTATTCTGGCAGGTGGCATTTGCCCAATTCCTAGGGACCATAGACAATCACTATCCAAGTGATCCTCTCTTGCAGTTCTTCTCAGACCTCTATTATTCTTCCTAAAATTACCCAATTACAGCCTCTGGCAGGGGTCCCAACTTACTTTACAGATGGCTCTTCCAGAGGAAGGGCAGCTAGCTATCTGGAGCTGCTCATTCCAACACTCATTCTCTATGCAAGGAGATTCCGCACAGTGCTCAGAGATTAAGGCTATCCTCTATGTTATAGAGCAATTTGCAGATCAAGCCCTTAATATATTAAGTGACTCTTCATATGTAGTATATCTAACTCAAAAGATTAAAACTGCTTCTGTTTGCTCCACCATCGAGCCAACCTTATTACAACTGTTTTTAAAATTACAGAAAGCTATACTCAACAGAACTGCTCCCTTCTTTACTGATCATATTAGAGCCCATTCCAATCTCCCAGGTCCATTATCCTTGGGGAATTATAATGCAGATGCTCTTATTAACTTGATTTCTGTTTTTGATAAAGCAAGAGGATCCCATGAATTTTTTCATCAAAATTCTAGATCTCTGCAAAGGCAGTTTAAAATTAGAAGAGCTCAAGCGAGACAAATAGGCATGTCATGCCCTTCCTGCCAGCTCATTCCTAGGCCTAGTCCTCAACAAGGCTGCAATCCCAGAGGTCTAAAAAACCAATCAATTATGGCAAATAGATATTACCCACATAGCCTCTTTTAACAAACTAAAGTACATTCATGTTTCTATAGATACCTTTTCACATATGATCCATGCCACCTGTCAATCAGGAGAGCAAAGTCAACATGTCATACAGCATTGTGTATCAGCCTTTGCTACATTAGGAGTGCCACAAAAAATAAAAACTGATAATGGCTCTGCCTATGTTAGTAGACATTTTCAGAGCTTTCTTGCAACTGGAATATACAGCATGTTACAGGGATCCCTTATAATCCCCAAGGTCAAGCTATAATTCAGTGTACTCATCTTAAATTAAAAAATGAACTAGCTAAACAAAAGAAGGGAGGCATAGAAGATCAGAGTTCTCCTCAGATGCATTTAAATTTTGATACCTATGTTTTAAATTTTCTAAATCCTGCTCCTGATTCTGAGTTGCCACCAGCCATGCTACACTGGGAACAAGGATCTAACCATTCTCAGAGGTCTTCACCCCCTGTAGCATGGAGGGACCCCCAAACAGGTGTGTGGAATGATCCGGCATCACTCTTAAATTGAGGCAGAGGATATGCATGTATTGTTACAGGAGATGGAGAAACATTATGGATTCCACCCCAATGTGTGTGCCCATGGACCGGTCAGCTCCATGACAAACCAATGTCACTCAGAAGCACTGAGAGACTTCAGCACCCCCAGTCGAAGACTTGCAGCGTCTACAATGGAAGAGGCCTCACCACTGCCCACTGGGGCAGCTCCATGGTCAATATCCAACTCACAGGTGCAACACGTCAGACCCTCTACCCAGACCTCAAACAACAGATGTAACAGAGCATCATCCCCTGTCATGGGAAGGCCTACAGCAGACCATTCGTGAGGTGTGACACCTTGTTGACTGCCAGGGTTTGATTCAATCACCTGAAAATCTTTTCATCGCTATGCCTGCTCTCCTAGCAGCTACAGTATGTATTCCCCTGGTTCAGGGAGAAGAGTATTGGGCCTATATACCTAATCCACCCTTACTTAGACCACTTACTTGAATGGACAGGCCCCCAGAAGTTTTCCGTTCTATAGAGAGCAATACCCCCTCATCTACTATTCTGCCAGGCCCACAAATTTTAGTGCATCTACAAGAACAGACTAGGCTTAATGTCACATCTCATTTTATATTTCCACCCTCATGTGTAGCCCATCTACAAAAAGATTCTGGCCTTTGTATGACAATTTCTGATCAAACATGGAAAGTGCAATTGTCTAAAGGATGATTTGCCCTATTAACTTGAAGTTCTATTCCCACAGAGGGCAACATGGTAAGAAACTTTAAATCTAACATTCCTATCTGTATTCCAGAAGCTCATGCCACTCATGTTGAAGAAGGTGACTTGGGTCCATGGCAGACTTGCAGAGATCCTTACCGTGGGTGGGCTATACACAAATTTAATTATTCCTTTATAGACTGGTCCCCTACAGGTTTCCTTCTAGGGAAAGATCAAGATTGACACAAGATTTCTTTTACAGACTCCTCCAACTATATCATGAACTCAGAGGCCTTGTCCAATGTTAAATAGAGAAACAGATTATTCTTACATATAAGTTCAGGAGCTACAAAAGATAGCTTTTGCTCCAGATAACTCATTTGATACTTTGGTAAAAACTGTTTAAGTGTCCTATAATTGGAACTGGGAGAAAATCAAGGAGAGAAAACAAAGAGATCAAAAACAGCTGCCATTTTTGCAGCCTCAAAACAGACCCTAAGTCTGATTCTCTTGGCTCCAAGAAGAGCTCAAGGACAATGAGGTTCATCTGCTACTGCTGTCAGAAGCCAGGCCAGCGTAAGAGGGACTGCCTTAAGAGGCCCACAAGCCATGCCCTGACTGCCACAGTAGCCACTGGAAGTAAGACTGCACTCTGAGGCGGAGGCCCCAGAGCTCAGACTCAGCTTCTCAAATGGTCCACTAGGACTGAAGGGCCCTGGGCCTGCCTCCTCCCTCTCGCCAGACTGTTGCCTCTACCTGCCATCTTCATGGAGGAGCCCTGAGTAATCATGACTATAGGAGGGAAAAGAAACCCAGCCTATTGCTGGAAATTGGCACAGGTCTCTTTGTCTTTGGACCCTGACTTTCCTTCCAGTCATCGTACCTCAATAGAAACAGACTTTGAAAGACATCTTGCTTTAGCTAAAATTGAGATACCACAATATGTTCAGGTTGCTTACTAAACAATGGTGATTAGACTGATTTTTTACAAACGTAATAATACTGTTGTTCCTGTACAAGATTTAAAAGGTATTTCATTGGTTTAATCTGACTGAGTGCTGTGTATTTCATGATAAGTATATGAGTTAACCTGGTTGACTTCTGACATAAAGCAGATATTTCATGTTGATAGTGAATACATGTGTGACCTCTCTTAACTAAAACTAGAGTGGCTTATAGCAAACTATCAGACTCCATGAATAAAGGGGTCTAAGAGCTACTGAGTTATCATTGCTAGGTCTCAAAAAAAAAAAAGGCTTATAAATATACCTGTTAGCTCAAATGTTCATGCTTTGCTTATATGTGTTGTAATTTCTCAGAAAATTTGTTCTTTCTTAGAAGATACCAAAACCCAGGTAATCATATAGGTAAAACCTATAGTGAATATGCTAGGTTAAGATTCCTTTAACTGGGATCCACCAGACTTTGTCTCTGCTAATGGACCTACAAAAGGTTCTAACTTGTCTTTTTCATAATTATTCTGTTGTGATTATTTGACACATGCATACTTAATTATTTCTTTGGCTTTGTCTCCTCCAGACTCAAAACTATACGTTCACCCAAGAGAAAATGCCTGTCATCTATTGGGCCTTTAGATAGAACTTCTGAAGAATATATCTGACTGCCAGTCAACAACCACGACCCCTTTCAGCTTGAAGAAGCCAGAGCGGTCATCGCCCACAATCCCTTCACGGCAGTTCAGGTTACTTCTTCCGAGTGGGGAATATTGTAGGCAGTCAAGTTAGATAGAAATGTTATAGGCAGTCAGATAGGGCCAGGCCCTGAGGAGACAGGACAGAAGACAAGGTGACCTTACAACTTTTGGAAGAGACAGACATTCCTATATTGGCCCATACTATTAATCCTTTTCATTATTGATAGGGGAGGTAGAATGGGACTCAGCCCAACAACAGCTAAGGGCTATGTGGCCAGAACTGACACTGCTCCAGCTGCTTCAAAGCAAAGAAGGGGGAACTGTGGAGGACCACCTAAGCAGCTCTCTTTGAAAGAAGAGTGACTGTCTCCATTTTGACTGAGCCTGACCCTATTCCCTATGTACAGAACTGGCTAGGACTTCTGTTTCTCAATTGGCCTTACGTAAATGTAGGCCACCCACCTAGCTCAGCTCACAATGATCACCTATTCCCCACGATTCTCAGTCAATCCTCCTCAAGCCACTTCCCCACTGAATAAAAACAGGGTGAGACCCTGGGTCGCTCTCTTGGTTCCGGAAAGCCATCTTTGTGGCTGGACTTAGAGCCCCTTGACTCCCCGATGACTGAAAATATAATTTAGTGTCTTTATTTTTGCCATGGGTTGCATTGTAAGTGTAGATTGGAATCAACTTGATGGGATTCCAATAACATAACTTTGGGATTATAACTATTGGCTTCTTGGACTGAGATGAGGTCCAGGAAGTGTCGCCTACAGCTAACTATACTATTTCACATTTGTTGCTTAATTTTGTCTGTTTTTAAATCTGAAAATAAAACTACTTTGTTATGGATTCCTATAATCTTAATATGCTGATCCAATCTATCAAGGCCCATAACCAGTACTACTGAAATTATAGATTATACCCCATCAACACTGATTAAATATTGGGCTTTTATAAGTATGGTTAACATGTTCTGTTCAGTGCCTCCTTCTTTTTTGTTTTTGTTTTTTGACACAGTTCCTGCTATGTAATTCAGGCTGGCCTTGAACTCATGCAGTCTAGGTTGGTTTTGACTCACAGCGTCTCTCCTGCCTCAGCCTCCAGAGTGCTGGAATTACAGATATGTAGTCCCACATGTGGTACTCACCACCACACCCAGTGAGTACACACTTCAGCAGCTTCTCAGCTACAGTCTGCTTTACCTCCAAAAAACCACAATACTCTTTCCAGCTACCCAACAGATTTGTCACCATACATTTTTTGAAAAGATCTTAATAACATCCATGTTCTATAGAAACACAGATGTGACACTACATTAGTAACATGCTCCAAGAAGATTCAGTTGACAACACTAATAAAGGACATCTAACTTCAATATCATCCAGTACTTTCAAGTTCTGGTGATAACATATTCCTCATTAACAAACTTTTTTTTTTCTCATTAACAAATTTTACATCCAAGCTAAAACCAACAGATCCTCCTATTAATACCTTCAAAAAAGAAAAAAATAATAACACAAACTCTTCCTTTAAGGCAGAGGCTCTGGGAATTGTTCCTAACATCTCATGGAGTCTTCAAGCCATTCATGTGCCCCTTAGTTACAGAGGCTCTCACAGACATAGTATGTGGCCTCTCATATACAGTGTCCACTGTACTGTGGGCCATGAAAATACCATCCACATGCTTTGCATGGACACTAAGGCCCACAGCACTGGGCCCAACAGGAAACCTGGGGATATTCCACCTGCCGGCAACAATGGCTCCCCTGACCTTAGTCTCCTACCAGACATCACAGTGACAGAGGAACATGTGCCCCCTCTGGGCACCTTGACTACCTGGAAAGCCCCAAGATTATCTCCCTGAGCAACCAAGGGAATTCCTAGACTATGTATGTGATAGAGCTTAGTGAACAGTAGCTGCTTTCCAACCCTAAAAATGTCCCTCATAAAAGACGAGATCCAAGAAATCATCCATGTAGCCAAATACAGGTGGGCATCTTAGCACTGTAAGCCCTGGTCAGCAAATGCCCTCATCTTTTGTTTATTAAAAGTTACTGAATCATGGCCAGCCAAATAGCTCAGCAGATTAAAGCGCCTGCAAGCAGGCACAGGGTGCCAGCCCTGCCCCCAGGGCACACTGAAAGGGCAATTGAGACTGGGCGTGGTAGCATGCACCTGTAATCCCAGCTCTTGGGAGGCTGTAAACAGGCGAATCACTACGAATCCGATCTATTAGTGAGACCCTGAACACCCTGTAAACCCTTCCCTAAAATATAAAAAAAAAAAAAAAAGTTACTGAATCATTACCTAAAATGTATCTCATTCACACACACACACACACACACACACACACACACCCCTCTAGGAATCGCTCACCTGACAAAATGTACTTAGGCCACAAAGCAAGGATTTACAAGATCAACCCTAAGTCCCTCCAGAATTATAGACACTACTAAAGAACCTAAGCTTTCTCCCCAAAACTCAAAATCAAAATAACACCACAAACAAAAGTCTCTCAAGTACAGCTAAACATCATTCCACTAACTGTTGCTGTTCCTACTACTACTACTACTACTACTACTACTACTACTACTGGTTCAGGTGCTATATTGGGTCAATTTGTAACTCAGGCACTATAGCAGGCACCTACTTAAAAAGGGAACCTCAACCTCACATACTGGGTGACTCCATCCTCGCTCAAAATGGCATCACTGAGTATGCTGTCCCCTCAGACAACAGAAATCTGCTGTTGAAAATGACTCTATCTCTCTCAGATGTCTATACAGCAATGTCTCTCTGACAAAAAAGACACAGAATCATTGTGCTTCTCCTGAGCTCACTGTTTGCTTAGGCCACAAACCTGGTATACATTTACCCTCTGCGCAAATGCCCACCTCCACATATCCACACTTCAAGGAAAATCTGAGATAGGTCACTAAAATTAATGCATTTGTTTTCCACAGGAAGCACCTTCCTCATATAAATAAGCACCTTTCCATTCTGAGAAGAGGACCACTTACTCACAAAAAGCCTCCTGCCCTCTTCCTCTCACCTTCCCCACTAGCCCACCTTTTGGTTATACACAATACCAATAGTCTTTCCATATGCTTTACTAACATATCACTTTATAGCCCCCAAAACAAAATTTCAAGTTTGGTTTTTCATTTCCTTTCTGTTTTGTTTTAAGACAGGGTCTTGGTATGTATTCTAGGCTGACCCTGAACTCATTATGTAGCCCACACTGGCCTAGAATCTACAGCTATCCTCCTGCCTCAGCCTCCTGAGTGCTGAGATTGCATCATAGGCACAAACTACCATGACCACTTGTAAAACTGCAAATTTTAACACAGGTTCTGATACTCCTCTGACCAGCATAACAAAGGGGCAATGTAGCAAGACTGCCTCTAGCTGCAGTCCGTGGCTTCAAGGAAATGGATTTGGCCCATGACCTGAGTGCATGTACAAACAGATTTCTCCCCATGTACACTTTCCCCGTTAAGTTACATTAGACTATGGCCCAGTCGATATGTCTTGATTGAAATCAAGTGAAATCCTGAGCAGATACCATACTACCCAAATCATGTCTGCATTCCTAATTCAAAGAAACTATGAGACAATAATGCGCAATTTAAACCATTAAATTTGCTGGGCATCAATAAATACAAATGTATTATCTGTCCATTGCCTTGGGGAGGGGCAGGTGTTCTTCAGGGCCCAATTTCTTTCACCCAAAATTATGCTAACGAAGTTAATTTCCTATTTTATCTCAACTTACATCTTTTGAACAGGAAATGTACCAGGAGTCTCACAAAGAGACGGGATACTGAGGCTTTTCTTTCTAGGAAGCAATTTTATTCGTGCTGGCATAGGGCTCAGTGGCTGTGCCCTGATCGTGGGACAGCTTTGCCTTTTATGCAATTTTTGACCCTTTGTCTCCCCTAAATGGTAACATGCTAACATATTAGAGCCTGACTGGATACAATCTATGTTACAGAGCCCTGCTAGAACTACACTCACATATCTAGCAACTAATTGTGTCATATTGCCTTTCTTTGTTCTGAAAGGGCTGGATTCCTTTGGAAGGGGCCCTGCCACAACATCACACTTTTCCTGTCCTATACTTAAGAATGAATTCATTCTTCAGCTTTTTCCCCAAACAAAAAAAAAAAAAATGACTCTAGTATCAAGCCTAGGAATAATCCCTAACACACTTCCCTCTGTCTCCTCCACAAATTTAACCTGCCATTTCATGGGAAGTGCTCACCCTCTCCTATTCTCTTTTTCCCTTCCTTTCAGCATGGCTGACTCCTGCACACTTGCTTTTGTTTTCTGGTCTAGGGTTAATTATCATTCTTTTCTTAGCTTCACATACTCCACCAAACGTAAAAGAAACGGACACTGTTTTCTGTCTTCCAAGCTTTTATCGATTTATTATGACATATTTACTTCCTCTACTACATGTTAGCTTTCTCTGAAAAGTTCCCTAAAAACATTATTAAGTAGACTACAAACAGGCGGATCACTACGAGTCCAATCTAGTACTGAGACCCTGAACACCCTGTAGACCCTTCCCTAAAATAAAAAAATAAAATTATTAAGTAGAACTCAGGCACTCATCAGTTTTTGAGAACATAGAAATGGAGAAAACATTTAAACATTCTGAACAATACAATCAGAACGTGGGTGTTCCTCACAGAATAAGAGTGCTTTTCAAATGACAATATAGCCCAAACACAGCAGCTGCTTTTCTAGAGATCTAAAACAATCTACAATACATAACCCTCAAATAGTGCAAACATAACAACTCCAAAATATACGCTGGAACAATGTGGAGTGTTGCTTTCTAAGACAGGCTCAATATTTACAATTTTTTTATTATTATTTTAGGAGTTGAATTACGAAGCATGCTCAATAAGCATGTCAGCGCTTTTCCAAATCTCACCCAGAAATGGGTTTGGGGGAGAGAAATGACAAATTAAAGTTCTAGAGTGCAACAGAGCCCCATCTTTTCTTCCCACAGGTCCCTGTTTGGAAGCTCTACGGGAAGGCAAAGGCCTAGACACTTCAGATAAAGAGAACAGGAAAGTACAGTACTGTTTTCCTTTAGCACCATGACCTGCAGTCTACGCAGTCTCAAATTCTTTATCTTCTGGAAGAAAGAAAAAAAAAAAAAAAATCCACAGAGATGCTCTAGAGAAGTCTGAAAAGGCAGTCGCCGGCTGCAAAGCCCCCGGAAGTGCCCCCGAGACCAACCCCGAGACGGCTGCCGGGACAGCAGCAGCGACGGCCCGGCGGCCCCAGGACGCGGCGGCGCAGAAGGACGCGGGCGGAGCGACCCGGCTCCCCCCGGGGCTGTGCAGCACACACTGGACGCCCACCGTTCCCTTTCATCGCCGGAAGGGCCCCTACCTGACCTCGTCAGAGCCGCTAGGAGCGCAGCGACCACTGAGAAGGAAGGAATTGGACAACCAGAGGCCAGACCGGAAGCGACTGCGGCGGAATGACGTCACTTCCGCTTGCCCTCTCCAGCTGGGGACCCGGATTCCGCGGCCAGGGCCTGAGGTACTTTGGCCCGATTTAGGCAGGGAAATTATAATTTCTTCCCGCGAAGTTGCATTTAGACACGGGTCAGTCCGCTCCGCAGCCTGAGGCAGACACAGGACCCGAGAGGCTCAGGTTGAGGGTTGGGACAGATCTGTGGGCGGGACCCACTTCCGGGGGCGGGGCTGGAGCTGGGGCCACGCCCACGCGGACGTGGACCGGAAAAACTTCTGGGCTTGATTCCCTCTTTTCTAGAACCCTTACAGTGATGCTTTCTTATTAATAAGGGCTTCCAGGGCATGGTGTGGTCTACTCCAATCAGTCCACCAATCAATCCATTTTTTTTTTTTTCTGCAAAGCTTTATTCCAGAGGGGCTGTCCTTCTTGGCAGCTGCCTTCGTCGTGGCACCCAGCACGTTGCTCAGCTCCTCACGCTTCCTCTTGGCGCAGATGTGCGTCCCCACTCTTTTCTTGATGAACTTGAGGGCGCGCTTGTCCTCGGAGACCTTGAGCAGCTCCGTGACGCGCCATTCGTAGGGGGCGAAGCCGCACACCTCCCGGATCATGTCCTGCAGGAACTTGGTGTGTTTGGTGAGGCTGTGCCTCGGTTTGCTCACATTCTTAGTCACCTTGTGGCCCTTGTTGAGGCCCACGACCATGCGATAGCGGAGGGCCATGGCTACTGTTCTTCAGTGGTTGCTGTGGCGGAATCAATCCATTTTTCTAGGTCATTATTTCTCATTTCTTTTTATTTGCTTGGCTACTCCTGGCTTACACAATTTCCTGAGATTTGGTTGTTATTCATGTTGTTAATCGAAGGCTCAGGGTGCTCTCCATGGCCTACAAAGTCCCTCTCCTGCGCTGGGAAATAGCTCAGTGGCACAGCGCCTTCCTGGCAAGCAGAAGGTCCTGAGTTCAATTCCCAGTACCACAAAAAAGGAAAAGGTTTCCGGTATACAGGCAAATCTTAGTGTCCTTAGAAAGACACTGGCCCAGGATTTCTCAGTTAACCGCATACATTATGCTGGAATGATTCTGATGTTTCTCTGGTGACCACTTTTGAAGTAGCTTTTGGTGGCTGGTATTCAAGCAATTATTAAAGTTATTTTAAACACTGATTTATGAATATTTTATCAATAATTATTCATGTGAGGGCCAGCAAGATAGCTCAGTGGACTAAGCACCTGCTTAGACAAGCGCAGGGAGTGGGGTTCTATCCCTGGCACCACTTGCTGAGTCGGTCCAGTCCCAGGGCACACTGAGCCAGCCACCAAGTCCAAGTATGGTGGCACACGCCTATAATCCCAGTGCTGGGGAGGCTGAAAACAGGAGGATCACTATGAGTCCAAGCTGTGTAGTGAGACCCTGCACCAAATACACAAGTTTTTTTAAAAAAAATTACTCATGTGCATTATCAAATGTGTATGAATATGCATTCATATTTTTGGTGTTTGTTTTTCATCTTTAGCTGTACAGAATATTTAATTGTTAGCCAAAGGACTTTGTATTATTCAATAGTTTCTGGGTTTCCTGTCTTGCATTAAAAAAAAAAGTGGGGAAAAAAAAGGCTCTATCCCACATAGCTGGGCCTACAGACCCAATATTTAAACATTTGTATTTTTCAACTTCACAGAACGTTTTACCAAATGGTTTGTGATAGTGGATTTTTTTTTTTAACTTCAGAAAGATGGCCAATTACTGTAGCACCACTTGATAATGATAAACTGTCCTTGACTGGGAAACAGCCATGTTGCATTTCCCTAAGAAATGAAGTCCCTTGCCTCCATCTTTCCCCGACATTTAATTCAACCCTATTTAGTAAAATTTGCAGAGCTGGCTATATTGAACCAGATGTTCCCTTAATTAGCTAAAAAAATATGATTGAGTCCAGGCAAGAATTTCTCTGCCCTCCCCCCCCCCACCGTACCCCCACCCCCCTGTGGCTGGAATGGAACCTCAAACAACACCCTGTGAGATTCCAGGCTAAAACATGGTAACATTTCAGCTGAGGCCATAGGATGCAGAAAGAATTATACCTTCCTGGCAGTAAAGATGTCAGCAATGTCTTGTATTGCTAAGTGGAAGACCTTTATGCCTGGTTCCAGAATTGCTGTTTCTCTTTACAGCCACTGCCTACAAAGTTTCTCTCCTGAAGCACTCTGCTGCAACCCCTACCCAGCTCTCTGGTTGATACCAATAAAAGCCATGAGCTTATGGATTTATGGCTTTGTGTTCCATAGAGAATACTGCTCTTCCCAGAGCACCTCTGCTGCAGAACTCTGTCTTTATCTGTGTGCCATATCGCCAGGTGGGTTGAACAGATGACCTACATGGCGCTTTTGGAGTTTGACTTAATGCTTTGAAATTTCATGTTCCAAAAACAGTAAATTCCACTAGAAATTGATGGGTCTGGCCCATGTGGGAACTGGGTGAATCACCATGGTGTCTCCACAAGGTGGCGGTAAGTCCAGAACAACTACCTACCTCTTCCCAGCATTCCCTTCATCTGGCGTGCCAAGATGATCTAACCACCTTCCAGGAGGCTATCCAATGAGCCCTCACAACGTCATCACCTCACCTCCCCAAGGCCCTGCCCCCTTTAGGAACCTATAAATAAAGCTGCCCTCTACTGTTTGAGCCCGAGCATTTCTGCATGTCTTTCCTTGCCGACCTCCCATGTCTGCAATAAAGGCCTCTTTTATCTTTTCTGTCTCTTTGCTGCGCCACCGCCATCGCCCCCACCATTGCTGCTGGGTGAACTCTGTCAGAAATCTCTATCTGTATCAGTCTCTAGATTTTTGGTTGTTCATGGTGGTGCTAGGGCTTTTGCACCGAGCTATATCTTCAGTCCTTTCCTTATTTTGAGGCAGGTCTCACTAAGTGGCCCATGTGAGGCTTGAACTTGCAATCCTGCTGTCTCAGCCTCCCAGCTAGCTAGGCCCAGCATAACCCAGGCTTGGAAATATTTCTAACTAAAGCAGCTAAACCATGTCTAAATGTGTAAAGATAACCCTGCTTTCTATGCTCTGAAGAGGTCAGTTAACTCTAAACCCCGAAATACACATACTGGCTCAAACACCCATTTAAAAAGTACTAAGACATTTGTCAACTAAGAAATGATGGCAGTCCATAGGAGATTTTCATTCTCAGGGTACACTTACTGCACCATTTTTTCTCAACTTAAAACTGGATGAAATTCATCAGGGAGGCTTGTTAAAACAGGACCAAGTAGGAGACATTCAGACTTAGTATGCCAGAGGTAGTCTCCAAATGTAATTTTTTTTTAATAGCCATTTACTTTGGGGATTGTGTGTATGTGTGTGTTGCTGGGGCTCAACTCCAAGATCTCGTGCATGCTTAGCAAGCTTATACCACTGAGCTACATCCCCAGCCCAGGATGTACATTTCTAAGAGTAACAGTGATACTACTGACCCTGGACATTCTGAAAACTACTAGATTAAGACCACTTCAGGAGTCCTAGCCCAGGTCCGGTGAGTGTGTGGAGAGCTTCCTGCTAACCTGCGCCAGCGGGACCAGTCCCAGCCCAGGCGCAGCGTGGGCTGGACCCTCTCACACGCCCTCGGGCCGCCCCCCACCACTCCGCCATACCTCCCCAACCCTCCCGCCCAGTAGGAATTTCTGCCGACTTCCGGGAACCCGCAGACCCAGTCCTAGCCCAGGT